ATTTTTGGATAAAGCTGACTTATTTGTTTTATGCACCGTTTCAGACCAGCCGACCGCCACCCCTAAGACCTTCAACCCCCACTCTCAACCTGGATATGTCAACCGGGAATGATCAATCACGTAAGATTCGCTTTTCATTTGAATCTGGCCCACTGGTCATCCACCCCAGCTAAGACACTTTGCATTATCTGTTTCCACAGGCTTGGACCTCTACATGAAGGTGCAGGAGCTGGATAGTCACCCGGCATTGAAACCTAAAGAGCAGGCGCACGTGAAATCCCTCTTGGCACTTATCAAGGCAGATATTGAGAATTCGGATGACGAGGGTGAAGAAGAGCTCGAAAGTAGAGACATTTCCAAGGTTCCACCCTTCTCGGCGGACAATTTGGCTGGTGCTGGTGCGTCTCATGACATCAGAGATGATGCGACAAGGCTTCCTGCTCCCGATCACTCCCTTCGATCAACGACACCCTCTGATCGACCCCCTGTGGATTTGTCCTTGCCAACCCGTCCCAACTTCAATTGTCCAACGCCGACCCGTGACATCCATTGGGAGGGCGACTATTTTGCATTGCCAAATCCGATCGGCCCCCCTCGCACCGCATGTCCCTCGTTTTCCAATTTCTCAAGGGTTGATCCCCCATTGGTTGGGGACAATGGCTTACCAAACGTGCTCAACCCGGCCTATGCATACATCTCTGATGACCCGCCTTGCCGAAAGAATGCCAATGGAAAGACCTCTTTCTTGACAGCTGAAGGGGATCAATTATACGATTCAATTATGGCCTCAGTCAACAAGGAACAGCTACCGCCTCAGAATATTCCAGCCCCACCGGTGCCCACCCCTTCAATCAATAAACAAGTGGAGCCGGCCCCACCGAAACACCAGACGCAGCGTCGAGAGGTCATTCACGAGCAACAAGAGAGGCGCCCAAAGTACCGCTTTGACAATGTTAGACTAGAGGGTGTTGAAGATAACGACCCTGCGCGTGCCAAAAAGACGAGGATTGACGACTCTGATGACGATGGCGTTGTGGGAGGAGCTCCCAGGCATTCTACTAGAACTAGGATTGAAGACTCTGAAGGCAACACGGACGCAGAGGGTTCTACCAATGAAGAATACGTCTCAAAAGAACAACCTCGCCCAGTTCCAGACGTTCTCGACCATGGAATTGGTCGCCCGGCCCCATTCAGGCAAGGCCCACACAGTGACACCGGCCCGCGTGTTCACCCTTTGTTGGACGAGTTTTCTTCTTGGGAGATGTTGAGCAGGATGAACATTCCTCGGAACCCGAGCCAGAACATTCCTGGAAACCCGGCGGAGGGGAGCAGGAGCCAGTCGGCCAGTCGGCCGAGTCCAAGTAGAAGGGGGGCTGGTGGTGAAGCCCCAGGTGGGACACAATCCGCACGCGCTCCTTGTAAGTGCATCTGAATGGATGGTTCATATATTTTCATGTACTGATGTGGGTCTATATTGTTCCGTAGCTGTGGAACTCTTTGTCCCTAGTCTAGTTTTACCTTCAGAGGAGGTCAATCGCTGGAACACTGAGCTCTCAGGAGGCATCAAATGGACACACCGATCAGCTCAATTGGCCCTTTCAAATCTCAAGTATATACTGGAGAATTTGCCTCCCCTGATTTCTTCACACGACGCAATCCCTAAAGAACAAAGTCAGCGGGTTTGGAAGGACATAGATGTAACCTCGAGGGCTTGTGAATTAGGTATGTGGTATTCTTGGGGCATGGGGTTTGTGTGGATTCATGCCTAATGTATGTCTATGGCTTTTTTCATCAGAGGATATACTCAACACCGCGGGGAATTTGTCCCTCATCACGTCCGACATGGTTGATATGGATCAAATCAGAGGTTTCCAAATGACGGAGAGGGCCACCGGCAACCACACTCTACTACCGCACTTGGCCAGTTTTTTTGCCCCTGGTAGATCCGCATATATTCAACTGCGAGCCGCATTACAACACACTTGGGCAATGCAGAATATGACGCAGATGAAAGACACCTGGATCCCTCAGGCCTTTGACGATCATAACAACGTGCATACGGCGTACTACCATCTCTGTGGGGCTTACGAGAACATAGGCGGCAAGTTGGGCGACCCCTCCACGTCGGAACCTGGCGTCACAGCATTAATCCAGTATTTCATTGGTGCCCTGGCTGGTTTGGCCTACCTGTCTGGGGGTTGTGTTCCAAAACCAAAACAAGGGAAAAATAATGCGTACCGCACGAAGCACCACCTTCAACACGTCCAGATGCTTGCGAATCTGTTAATATTTGGTCCAACTGCAGCTTTCACTGCCTATAGGACGGGCCCTCACGTGACGCTTTCGAATGCTCTTTCTTTGATGGAGGTTGGTGCGAGTCTGCTCAAACAAAAGGTCGAGCATGGAATCACGGCCCCAATGCCTCACGCGATTTTGGACAACCTTCGCCTTTATTTCTTGAACTTTCTCATCAAGATGGGCTTCACAAATCTCAATGACGATGGGGTCCCGGCGGTCAATTGGAAGGACGTGCACCAGGCATTCTACCAGGAGTTCGCAACACATGTGATAACACACCTGTTTGCACAAGATATAGAAATTGCTTTGGCTGACAAGAAGTTTGGCGTTGATTAATTTGTTCTGTTATCATCCTGGCATTGCTGATTGAAATATATGAATATAACAAGCTATGTGTGGTGTATTTCTGTTATCATGCTGCCATTTCTGATTGAAATATATGATTATAAATGAGCTTGGGGTGGATTGATGCTGTAATGCAAGAGGCATTTAATTGTGTCAGATTTAATGCATGAATAGTCTTCTTGTTTCCTGTCCGCATTTAATTGTGTCAGATTTAATGCATGAATAGTCTTCTTGTTTCCTGTCCGCTTGCCAGTACCTTTCACAATTCCTGTCACCAGCTACTGTTCTAGTTACTACACAGACTACAATATGCATCTTCTCTTTATTCATTTTGTCTCTTTATGCTTATACAGTATTATGCATTGTACATACTATATAAGCTTGGTTCTCTTCTATTTCTATGTTCCTCAGAAATCCAAGAAGAGACGACATTTGCCCAAAAAGTATTCCATTCCTCTTAGTCCTGACGTACCTCTAGGATATATGGTCAAGACAGCTGCTCAAGTTATATTGCGCTGATCCCTGAACCAGTCGAAAGCTTGGAGTCAACCTTTCTTTAGTTATATCCGCCAATCCCTGAACCTGAAGAGCCTTGGAATTCTCAAAACTTCTCACTATCCCGTTTTAGGAACAGCAACCCCTCAAGGTAGCCTGCTCTTACTCGACAGCTGACATTCCCCTTGCTAACTAGATGTTGATAGAATGGACACAAGGAGAATGCTTTTTTGGCTATCTAACTGTGGGGATGAATTAATTACAGCAAATTCAAAAATAGACATATATGAAGAGTTCATTGGCTAATAAGCTGATGGTATAGGTCTACATTAGGTTGAATAGCAGTCAACCATTGAGCCATGGATGCATTCTCAAGTCGTGTGCGGAATGAGAATGACAGAGGGGGGATAGGGATGAGACCGCGCTTGGGGATAACTAACTCCCAATGGTTGCCCCATGTGAAGGAGATTAATATAGGACCTAGGGGTTTAGGGTCTGGGTCTTTCGAGCTTGGTAAGTTAGTGATACACCCTATTTTTACGTCGTCTGAGATGAACACAATGGGCCTGTTGTATGCGTTTGCTAGCACGGGTCCCATGTCCAGGCGTTCCATCCACTTGTCATATGGAACTGATGTCGAGTTGGCTTCGACCACAAGGGATTCACGGACCCTCTTGTATTCGTCATCGCTCCCAAATCTCCTCGTCCAA